GCTTTACTCATAGCAGACTCACCATATGCCTTTGTTAACATTTTACAAACTTCACTACACTTTATTTCATTTTTTACGCAAAATTGAATACAAATTCTTTGATCCATTTTTTTTTCACAAACGAAAATCGCCGAGCTCGAAAAACACGTCTAACGTTAGCGGCTGCCACTCAAAAAGTAAGCAATGAATATTGCTGAAAATTTTATCGTACTTCAGGGGCATGTGTACCAACATAATAAAAAAAAATTTTATACAGGCGGACTCCAAACCCGCGAAATTTAAAAATTCTCGTTACTTTTTGAACACACCTCGTATATGAGGTAATTTAAGACCGTTATAATTGAGTTTTATTACTTCGGTTGGGGTATTGGAGAGGCTTCTGTTTGAAAATTTGCGTCTATTTCTTCACTACTGTATTCGTTAGTAAATTGAGTATCTTCCTCCATATTAAATTCGTCTATAACCGTATCGTCATAGTCTTGTCCGAATTCATAGTCAGCTTCTTGTTCATTTAGCATATTATTTTGTACGGTACGCATTGTTACGTCTGTATGTGATGTAGAATGCGGTTTAGGCTGTTGATTGGTATTAATCCCAAATCTAAATTGCTAGTTAGGATTTGGTTTAAAGAATCCTGACTGCTTATAATTATTTAAAGCACGTGGAAATTGTTGTGGTGGACCATTAAAGGGTCTATTAAAGTTAGGTTTAAATGGTTGATGTAGATTTGGTCTAAAAACTTGTGGCTGTTGGTTAAATCTATTGTTATTAATATTAGGTACAAAATTAGGTTTAAATGTTGGTTTAAATATTTGGTTATTCTGTGGAATAGAAAACTTATGTTGAATAGGTGTTGTAATACTTAGGTGTTTTTGTGTTGGTTTGTGCGATAAATTCTGATTATTATTATTGAAGTTTGGCTTTATTTTATTTTTTGAGTTATATCTAGTTTGAAAATTAACTTCTTCCATAACTACACAAAGTGCTGATTCTAGCGTTGTACATTTATTTAGTCTGACAAACTTTATCAAATCCTCGGGTAAATTATATAAGAATACATTTAGGGCGGCATTATTATATATAATACATTTGGCGGCTTTAATTCCTTCGTCCGTTAAATATGAATTCATTCATATTCACATTTTGAAATAAATAAATTGAGTAACTTATCATCTCCATCGTATCAAGGAATGATGCTCTGAATTTCTTTGGGTATTAATTGAATTTAACTCATTTTGATTGCAATGATTATAACTTTAGGGGAAAAAAAATAATTACGTAAACGACGATTTTTGTTCGAATTACGTGACTTAATAGCTAAAACTGTGTAATCTACTGAAGTTTGAGTAAAATACACATACGTCTAAATGGCGATTTTATTCCAATTAGATATAAATATAATAAACAAGGGTTTAAGGAAATGCGAATAAGGGTCTACTCACAATCTGCTCGATCCCATGCCGTTTCTTGAGTAGCTTGATGCGAGACGCGTGTCGTTCAGTTGACTTATTTGTTTGATCGGTTCGGACGGAGACGTAAACAACCGATTCTTGTGTCTTTTATACGTTCACTATTCGCGACTACTAATCCGACCCGGCTGCGCCAGTCAAATATGAACGCAGTCTAGTTCATACAGGGTGGCGCAATAGAACGTGCATATTTAAAATATTGATTAGAAAATAAATACAAAAGGTATAGTTAAAATAAAACTGAGGTATTATTAAGAAATAACTGAAGTTTATTTTTTAAAAATAACATCGTCTAAATGATGACCCTCTCTACGACGACACTCCTCTAATCGCAAACGGAAGTTATTGAAAACTTTCTTCAGTAATGCTGGTGTAATTGCTGCCATTTCACCACGGATATTCTCCTTGAGCTGATCGTTGTTTTTCGGATTATTACTGTAGACTTTGTTCTTGAGGTATCCCCACAAAAAAAAGTCAGGAGGCGTCACGTCTGGACTACGTGGGGGCCATGGGATATCACCTCTTTTCGAAATCAGTCTGCCAGGGAACATCTGTTTCACAACCGCCATGGAGTCATTTGATGTGTGACAGGTAGCTCCGTCTTGTTGAAACCAAGTCCTAGAATTCACTATTCTTGAATTTTCAAGCTCTGGAGCCAAAAAACCTTCCAACATCGCAACATAGCGTTCGGTATTAACAGTGACGTTTTGCCCCCGCGCATTTTCAAAGAAAAACGGTCCAATTATTCCTCTACCAGAGATTGCTGCCCATACTGTCACTTTAGGACTATGCAGTGGTTTCTGGTGCTTGAGTTTGGGATTCTCACTGTTCCAGTAACGACAATTTTGACGGTTTACGAACCCATTGATATGGAAGTGGGCCTCATCTGAGAAAAGGATATTGTCAAAATTGGAAAATCGATTAAGCATTTCATTAGCAAATGCGAGCCTTGCTCCGAAGTCAGACTCTTTCAATTCTTGTGTTAACTGCAGCTTGTAAGGATGCAGTTTAAGATCCAAGTTTAAAATTCGTTGCAAACTTCGTCGCGATAAGTGTAAGACAGACGATCTCTTACGAGTAGACATTTGTGGATCTCCTCGTACAGACTGCATAACTCTCTCAATATTGTCGTCGGTCCTAGATGTTCTTGGACAACCTTTTGCTTGTGGTTTAAACGTTGAACCAGTCTCTTCAAAACGCTGTACCCATATTTTAATTAAATTAGCACTCGGAGCTTTACTAATTTGCCGTAGTCCATATTCAGAACAATATAAACGCCTAGTAACGATGTATGAACGAGAGTTCTCGTAAAATGCGCGCACGCAAAATGCGCGACGCTTCCCGTCGAAGTGACTCATAGTGACTAAAACTCCATGAGCCCGCCTACCCAACGATGCAGCCTCCCCCCGCCCGCGCACTTTCTACCCCGCGAAAAAAGATGATGCAATATGCACGTTCTATTGCGCCACCCTGTATAAAAATATATTTATTTCGACAGTACACGTGTGCTCAGCATGAGCTTGTTTTATTCAAGAACATTTTTGGTTAAGAAACATTGGCTTATATACTAATACGAGGGAGCGTTTTTATGTTCGCGGAATGGGGGATAAGGGATGGAAATAAAAAAAAACAAATTATTTTTCCTTTTCAATATATTCACCTGCAAGACGGATACATTTTTCAGATCTTTCAATTAATTTGTTAATACCCTCATAAAAAAATGTTTTCTCTTTGTCTTCAAAATACGCCGAAACTGCCTCCTTAACTTCATCATCGTTGGTAATTTTTTTACGACGCAGCTCTTTTTTCATTTTTGGAAACAGGTAATAATCGCTGGGGGCCAGGTCTGGGCTGTAGGGTGGGTGATTCAAAATATCGAAGCCCACCTTATGCAGGGCAGCCAACGCGACGCGGCTCTTGTGGACGGGCGCGTTGTCGTGCAAAAGCAACACACCTTTTGTCAATTTTCCCCGTCTTTTCTCTTTAACTCTTAGGACGTCGCGGCGCGCGGATGACCTATGACCCGTTACTGTCGCGCCCTTGAACTAGTTACCCAGTCACAGCTGAGCGAAGTCAATATTACCTCAATCTACGTTATTTTATAATTATATTCAATGAAATAAACATATTTGGAATTCCTGATATATATTCTTCTAAACTTAATAAAGATTAAACTTACCTGAAATACACAGTTATATGATTTGTACACAAAATATACCTACACTATCACTGGCGTCGATTTACAACACTCATATAAACACCAAAACTTTGCATTTTGACACTAATTCACAGCACTTTACATAGAATTAGTATACAAGGTAAATAACATACAGTAAAAATGAAAAGACAAATTATGAAATGAATTTGTGTTTATTTATTATAGCGTTATAGTGATTACGTCTTGTTATTTTAGGTATAAAAATAGTATACAAGGTAAATAACATACACCAAAAATGAAAAGACAAATTATGAAATTAATGTGTTTATTTATTATAGCGATGCATAAAAAAACGTATTGTACATGAAACATCATCTCATCATAAATTGAAGTGGACATGAAACATTATCTCATCATAAATTGAAGTGAACATGAAACATCATCTCAACAAGTCGAGTGGACAGCTTGCAAGGTCACCCGCGTCGGTTTTTATGTAATTTTGATATGATAATGTTGCTAAATAAAGAATGTTTTCATTTGTTACTGATCCCCTTCGGAGCTCCAGGAACGCGTCAGCGTCTTCTTGAGTCCCTGCCGTACCCCACGATTGAGGCACATCCCAGGGTCACCATGATCACCCCTAGGGCGGGACGCTGCCGCGCCCCTCACCGCTCTACGCAGTAAGAGGCGCAACAGCGCCCCGCGACACCCCGGAGGGCGCACCAGTGTCCCCTGTCTCGGTCGTTTGCAGCGGCCACATCCCCCAAGATGTAGTCGCAGGGACCGTCACACTCATACAAATGCTAACTACTGACACATGTTAGGGGATCACGGTCGTTATACTAATAATAGAACGCGTGATCATCATCATCACTCAACTGCCTACTATGCCTATGTTGAGACTATCACTCAACTGCCTACTATGCCTAAGTTGAGACTATTACTCAACTGCCTACTATGCCTAAGTTGAGACTATTACTCAACTGCCTACTATGAGAGCTCACTACCACCCCTGGTCCCCATACAAGTATCTGTATTATGGTACGTGGATACTACGTTGACAAGTTTGACGTCTTTCCACGCCAGTACAGACACGTCGCTACAGTGTAGTTGTAGTGCCACAATTGTACCTTTTGGTGTGTTTTGCCGCAACTTTGATATCGACTCGGGTACATGCTTTCGGTTTGCACGTGACGTACCTAGGCAGTCAAAACCTAAAGGTGCGTACGGATAGCGCGTTCCTGTGTTACGCGTAGTTGGGAGACACTGTCCACGCGTACATTGGATACGCGTACAGCTCCTGTACGGACCGCCGCGAACCTGTACGCGAGGTCAATCGATCCAGAGCGCTCCGCGAGACCCAGTTATTCGCCATGACGCCGACAAACTTAGCGATTGCGTGCACCACCACTGCTGCAGCATTACTCATTATTCAACACATTTTAAATAAAAAAAAGAGAAACAAACGGAAACCTAGATGGTGGAGGAAAAAATTGTATCGTGAAAGATTACAGTGTGGAAATAGGCTTATGGAAGATTTAAATTATGAAGAAAGTGGGGACAAAAATTTTGTGAGAATGAGTTTGCAAGATTTTGAAATAATTCTTGAAAAGGTTGAGCCTGAAATAAAAAAAATGAATACTAATTTTCGAGAAGCTATCACAGCCAGAGAAAGGCTATCCGTGACGTTAAGGTTCTTGGCCACCGGGGACTCATATACAAGTGTACAATATCTGTTTCGCATATCTAAACAGTCCATATCTACTATTATTATTGAAGTGTGTGATGCAATTATCAAGGCTCTCAAGGATCATGTGAAGGTGAGTTAATGAATAAAAACGTTGCTTATTTATTATGTTAATTAAAATTTTAGAAAATTAGAATTTACTTATAGAAGTTTTATTAAATTATAATTAAAAATTTTCTGAATTATTCTTCTTGTTCTTGAACGTAACGTAATAATTCAGAAATTTCGTTTTGATTATCCTCAGCTTGCCTTTGAGGTTCCGGTGCTGATGTAGGTGCAGTTTGTGCTGGACTTGGCGTGTCGCTGTAATTGCTTTGGCGTGAGGTAGAGTTGGATAAATCCGTTGAATGGGCACCGGTATAATACCCGTATTGACCTGGTAACTGGCCCATATCAGCTTGAAATATAATATTATTGATAGCATGTTTTACTAGTGCAAATGTTCGCGAGTCGTATTTTTTCAATTCATGCGCAATGTGGGTCGCATTAGAAATGTAACAGTCTTCTTCCTTGGATAGATATTGTACACTGTGCTTGAGTAATCCCACTGCTTCTGCTAATGTGGCAGTGTCATCGTTATTACGACGCCTTTCATTTCTGAATGATGTGTTGTGCTGTTGTTGTGTGGATGAGGCAGAGTTACTGGGTGTTTGTTGTATAGACGATGAAGAATTACTGGGTGCTTGTTGTGTGGATGATGAAGCATTACTGGGCGCTTGTTGTGTGGATGATGATACATTACTGGGCACTTGTTGTGTGGATGATGATGCATTACTAGGCGTTTGTTGTGTGGATGAAATCAAATCACTGGGTACTTCTTGTGTGGTTGAGGCAGAATCACTGGCTAATTGTTCATAATTTGATATAGATTCATTCACATTCTGTGTGTTGTTGCTGGTAGTTATCTGAAAAATAAAATAAGAAAAACGTTAACTTAGATTAAATAATTTGTTACAGCTACCCGAGACTGAAAATGAATTTGAAGAAAAGTGGAACTTTCCTCATGCAATAGGCGCAATGGACGGGCCAACATGTTTGCCTTCAAGCACCATTAAATAGTGGAACGGAATTTTACAATTATAAACAATATTCTAGCATTGTATTGTTAGCATTAGTTGACGCCGACTACAATTTTATGTACGTAAATGTTGGATGTCAAGGGCGTATATCAGATGGAGGTGTTTTTAAAAACATTTCCTTGTACATGAACCTTGAAAACAAAAGCATAAATTTACCGAATTCTGAAATATTACAAACTCCTTACAATATGAAGGTACCGTAAATGATTTTGTGTGATAAAGTCCTCAGTGAATATACCATGAAACCCTTTTCGGGTAATCCAGAAAGAGGATCCATTCAAAGAATATTCAATTATCGTCTTTCAAGAGCAAGGAGGGTAGTTGCGAATGCATTTGGAATACTGAGTTCGGTGTTTCGAGTACTACGAAAACCAATGCTTTTGGAACCGGAAAAAGCTACAAAATTTTTATTGGCTACTGTTTATTTACATAATTTTTTACGAAAAAGCAGACTATCAAATATTTACGCACAGACCAATGCATTTGACTCTGAACAGCGAGGAGAGCTTATACCAGGTGCATGGCGACAAGACCAACAGCAATTAACTTCTTTTTTTCCATTAGACTGTGTACCTAGGAGATTGCCCAATACTCCTACTCATATAGTACTCCTACTCATATACTCAGTCTCGCGCGGTCGTTGACCCGGAACGCACGCGCACCTACGAGTTACATCTGTGTAGCATATTGACCGATATCTACCTGCGAATTTCATTTTGTTATAGTGTGATACAAATATGTAAAAATAAAAATAGTTAAAAATGCCGTGTGAGTGTAATATGATAGCGAACGAACTGCTATGCTTCATCCAAAATAAAAGTGTTGTAATGGACGAATTAAGTATAGTGCAGATCTGTTGTTCTTGGTTCAGTGAGGAAGAAATTGAAAGTGCAAAAACGTATTTATGTGAAACTACGGCATTTTTTTTTTTTTTAATAGGACTTATCCCACCCACACGCCCACCACTGTAACTCCTGTACACCAGGATCCACAGCAGTGACCCACGAACACACCGAGTTATGACACTCGGGAAGTCCCAGGAAGAAATTAAACTGTCTTGGAACCCGCAACGAAATTAATCAGAAGAAAATTGGAGGAGTTGGAAATACAGTAAATCCACTTCCCTCCTTAGCAAAGCGGGAGACAAAATGAAGTAAAATGGGCATACACCCTTTTAAACAGGGAAGCACCACGGCCACAAATATTACGGGTCCTACGTGAGCTATGTTTGATTTCTATAATATGTATGGCAGAATCGCCTAAACGCACGGAAATTCACCCTAGTTGACACAAGATCCCCATAGTATACCGCCCCAGATGTCACCTGCAAGCTATTCAGCATTATATTACGTTCATTATACCAAAGACTACATTCCCAGAGGATATGATGAGCAGACTGTTCATAGTGAGAGTTAGGTGTTGAGCATTGACACAATGGTGACTCGACTAATTTAAATGAATAAAGTTTAAACTACGGCATGCAGGAAAATCATAAGAAAGGGGGACAAGAAATCTCATAGCCAATATATTGGATATTTTGAAAATTATAAAAGAAACCGAAAAACTGCCGAAGTTCGTTGCATACGATTTGAACCGCCTACCGCCAGTGACCTTTGATCATCTCGATATCAGTAGCTTGCTTAAAACCCTTGCAACTATAAGAAATGAGATGCAGACGTTCAAGGATGAAACAAAACTCGTAGTTAACAAAATGGAACAAGATATAAGCGAATTGAAAAAATCGAAGACCAAAACGTACCACTTCAAAATGTAATAGGTTTTGGCTCGGATGGTTATAATACAATGATGGGCATTCGCAACTCAGTTTCTTCTAGGTTTCGACAATCATGTCCAGGTATTGTAATTATCAAATGCATCTGCCACTCGCTACACCTGTGTGCTAGTGATGCCGCTAAAGAAATACCATCAGAATGTGAACAACTGGCACGCGACGTTTACAATCGTTTTAAATCGAGCAGCAAACGCCAAAGTCAGTTTAAGGCTTTTCAAAATTTCCTCGAGGTTGATGTACACAAAATACTACGTCCAGCCCAAACAAGATGGCTATCGCTATCATCGGTTGTAGACCGATTGCTGGAACAATGGGACGCACTACGTCTCTATTTCGACAGTAAATGGTTAGATGATCGCGAATGCAGGGAAATCCACAAACGACTAAATGACCCAATAATCAAAGCCTACTACTATTTTCTGTCATGGATGTTACCCAAATTTGCAAATGCAAATGCTTACTTTCAAAGTGAAAGTACTGTTATCACAGAAATGCACACTAAAATGAGAGACTTATATAGAAATCTGATAAAACTTGTGATGCAACCGGAGTGCATGCTCGATGACAAGTTCGACAAAATTGATCCTACCAACGAAAATCTTTATCTGAATCTCGATGACATATATCTTGGTCTCGGCGTCCGCAAACAAATATCGCTACCTGAAGTGGCCAATAATGAAAATGACATACGTGAGTTCAGCAGTAAGTGCAGGAAATTCATTTTAAGAGCTATCATTGGAATAAGAAAAAGGTACAGCCTCGACGATGAACTCCTACACGCAGTTTCTACAATCAGTCCAGAAGCTTGTCTATCACTGCTATCACACGAAAGACCCACCACCATGGCCCCTCTTTTCGTTACAGGAACAGCAGGATTTAGATGACCAATGGAGATTTTTGCCATCTTACAAACAGAACACACTGGATACCAATGAGCCTTCAGATATATATTTTGGCATCAGGTAAGTTTTATATTATTGTAACTAACAATACTTTTCATGGCTAAACGGCTGAGCAGATTTAGGCGACATTTGGAAAGGCAATAGAGATATGTATTCCCAGGAAGAACATAGGCTACTTTAGGCAGAAGCTAGTATAAAATAAGAATGACTATTATAGCAGTGGCAGGTTATCATCAGAGCAAGTTAATACATTTTGTTTTTATTTTCAGGTTGCCCAACTACAAAACAAAGATGGAAAAAAACCATTTTCAACCTTGTCCAACTTCATGCTGCAAATTTCATGCCTACCACACTCTAATGCTGACTGCGAAAGAGTTTTCAGCCAAATACACGACATCAAAACCGACAAGAGGAATAAACTAGTTACAAAAACGGTTACTGGGAATTCGTAAGCCGAACAGTGCATCAAAAGACACGGCAAAAATTGTATTAATTTCACCCCAACCGATAAAATGTTAAATATGATGAATGCATCTATGTATACGTAGTTATACATAACTAACCCTTACCTCGTACCATAACAATAAAGTAAGGGACATCACGCCACCCAGTAACTACTGAGAATTCATCATCTCATGTTTCTATTAGTTAATTCCCATAAAATTAACGATGACTAAATCAATTAAGAATTAGACTAATGTAATTCGCTAAATAAGCGCATGTGTGAGGTACTGTACACCATGCACACATGCACCCAATTTCGAGGGTGCGTTTTTAAGTTCGCGGAATGAGAGGGTTGGAGGTTGGTCAGTGACTCATAATTAGTATAAATACCAGGATTCATTGTTATTACACAATTAGTCTTTGTGTTATCGTCAACCAGGAGTGAAAAGTGAAACATGGAAAAATCGAATATCGTGCCGTTATAAAGTTCCTTACCAAGCAAGGAAAATCAGTTGCGGCCATAATGAATGAGATATCATTGGTTTACGGCGACTCTTGTCCACTAAAAACCATGGTGTACAAATGACACAGTTTATTTAAACAAGGAAGGGAATCCCTTAAAACTATCACTGGTCAATACTACGCAGACTTATTGCAACGTTTGAGCCACGAGGTGAAAATTAAACGACCTTATTTGGCGAAGAAAAAAATCTTGTTTCATCACGATAACGCACCAGCACACACGTCAATCGTTGCGACGGCTAAAATCAACGATCTAAAGTTTGAATTGATGCCGCACCCTCCTTACTCTCCAGACCTAGCCCCGAAGTGACTATTTTCTGTTCCCTAACCTCAAAAAATGGCTTGGCGGTAAGAGATTTGCGGACAATGAAGAAGTAATCGAAGCTGTAAATGGTTATTTTGAGGAGCTTGACGAATCAGTCTATAGAGATGGCATTAATAGACTGGAACACCGCTATGAGAAATGTATCAGCCTTGGAGGAGATTATGTTGAGAAATAAAAAATTTTTTTTTAAATAACCTTGTTTTTCTTAGTCAGGCCGGAAACTTATCAATCCACCCTCGTATCTGCTGTAAAATATTAATATTAGAAAATAACTTTACATATTTATTTTTATGTATTGCAGCTCAAGAGCCTTGGAGAGAGTGGCAGCTGCTGACGTGGACGAAGAAGTTGTGCAGGGGGCGCTGGGTCGAGGCAACCAATCTCAGCGGTGGTTGCAACCGGCCGCCACTTCCTCAACTTCTCGACCAGGTGTACCCATTGCCATGGAAGAGCTTCCGAATGAAGTTCCTTCATTTTGCAGACAATTCTATTCAGGATAGTTTGCAAACTGAAAAAATGTCACCAAAATTAAAAAAGATTGAACCTATTCTTTCCCATTTAAATAACAAATTTGAGTCTTTGTATATTCCAGAAGCTAATATTAATGTTGATGAGTCGCTTACATTGTTTAAGGGTCGTTTATCATGGAAGCAGGCCATTAGATCGAAGGCAGCTCGATTTGGCATTAAGTCCTACGAGCTATGCGAGTCTCGCACTGGATACATGTATAGGTTTAAAATTTATACGGGGAAAGAAGATAATGCCAGTGTTGATACTAGTACTACAGATTTGGGTGGTAAGGCAACAAAAGTTGTCCTAGGCCTCATCAGAGGCCTCGAGGGTAAGGGTTATTGTCTTATAATGGACAATTTTTATAATAGACCAGCGTTAGTGAGGCACCTCAAAACATTAGGGTGCGTACGGATAGCGCGTACACTGGTACGCGTAGTCAGTTTACGCGTGTCCGGAACGTCATGTCCATACTTGCAGCTACGCGTACACTCTTGGGGAACGCGTACTGCGCGAGCTAGCTCGCAGCGCGAGCCGCCGTCAGTCGGTTTTTGGTCGCCCGTCAAAGAGAACGCACACGACCGGGTACGCTATATTTGGACGGCAAAATGAATAAACACGCGTGTTCTTCGAGTTTCAATAATGAAAATATCATCAGACTGATTCAACTTTATGAATTTCACCAGGTCTTGTGGGATAGCACACTAACTGATTATCGAAATAAAGATTTATGCCAAGATGCATGGAAGGCAATTTCAAATGAACTGAAAATTCCAATAGGTGAATTAAAAAAAACGATGACAACTTTATTAGCAACTAATAGAAAAGAAAGGAGCAAAATAAAAAAAAAGTTTAGTAACAGGATCAGGTAATTTTTTAAATTGTTTATTTACGCATTGTATACATTGAATCATAAAAAAAATTGGCATACTTATAATAGCCTATATAATTTTATATCTTTTTTTTACAGGAGCTAATGATGTATATCTATCGAAGTGGTTTGCATCTGAATATTTTACTTTTCTAAATGATAAGGACAAACCTCTGCCAACAACGGAGACTGCTGTAAGTAATTACGATTAGATATTAACGTTATTATATTTATACGGGTGTGAGAAAATGGTCCAGCTGCTTTATGGGGCTTTTTCAATTTTATTATACATATTTTAGTCTACGTTCATCCGTGTAGGTATTACACGTTCTATTTAAAATATAATATATGTCACATTAAAACTCAGTGATTATTTTGCCACTCAAGGGCACCATTATTAACAAAGTGTTCCGCCAGATGTAAACGTATATAAATGGGTATAATTTGTTCGGCTGCTTTTAATGTGGATTTAGTGTTAGTACCACGTTTGTTTTTTTACTGGAATTTTGACTTTTGCCTTGATTCATCATAGTTTTCAATCCGTTTTCTTTTTCTTGTAACTTGCGTAAAACCATCTTCATCTACATTTCCGAATGTGTTTTTTACCGGCGTTTGTTGCTGGTTCTGGCTTCGCAAAGCCTTACTAAAGTTTAAAACGGTGTTCTGATTCTCGGGTATAGCTACCTCCACACTATCAGTTGTTTTAGTATTTCCAATTGAAAAGTCACTCGCCGGCGAGAATACACGATAATGCGGTTATTGTAGGTAGGTTATTTTTCTGCGCGCGATGATACCCCGTGCTGTTTACCGCTGCTGCTGCTTATGAATTGTTACCATTCACGAAATAAGCACTAGTTAAAAAAAAAACTTTAGATGGCGGGCCCTTTATATGAACTATCATTAAAGTCTGGCCTCACCTCCACTGTGCCCTTGTCCACTATGACAATCGTGTTTACCAAAAAAGGTTGACCTAATATAACCTGATACGGTATTGCATCCGTAGGTACAACGTGAAAAGACGCATGATAGGTATGTTTGTCAATAAATAATTTGCACGTAAACTTACCCAGGGAGTACACCTTACATGACCCTAACCCCGTAAGCAACAATCTTTCACTTTGGTAATCCGAAAATTTTTGTCGCAACCCCTCAAACACCTCTTCCGACATTGAATTGAGGTCGCTCCCGGTGTCAATCAAACATTGAATCGGAACCTCACATATTTTTGCACTTTTTACAGATTTATTCAACGCATTGTTTACATCTTTACTTTAATATTAATTTCATTACTCAAACTCGGAGTGACTGACGTTGCCTTTGACAATGTTGAAGTTAACACTGCCAGATTATCAACAACCATCGACTTACGTTCAAACCTTCTTTGTCCGTCGCTCTTTGAAGAGAATCCACTCGGCCCGCTCTTCTCATTCGCCACCTCACTCTTACGTAGCTATAAGTCCAAATGTATTGCACCGAAAACACTTAACGCCATTTTTGCAAACACTTGAAAACTTTGCTTAACGTCTTAAGCATAGTAAATAGAAATTTAAGTAAGTGGTGGAGCTTGGTCGAATCAAATGTAGTACCTTGGTATTACTTATATTAAAACACAAAAGAAAAAGGAACTTCGGATACCGGGTGGCCACAGCCTAGAGGAGCTCATGACCACTGGTATTAGGTGATCCGGTACCTTCAATGTCGTTTACCCGGCGGGGCAGACCATAAGTGAGGCACCGCCTCAGCGTTTCCTGAGTAAAGCTTTGGTCTGGTGATCATGACGCACAACGCTGCGGTATGCGCCGCAACGCAGCGTCACGACGCAGCATTTAGCGTCGCTGCGGAGAGGTGGTCAGTTGATTTTGCCGCAGCTACCAAGGTAGACGTGAACATGAACAATTTTTCTGTAATTTGTGCTTTGCTTGAAGAGGAGGAAGAAGAATTTTTACTGCTTCTGAATAGACAAAGAAAATCTCCGAGGAACATGTTTTTACAACGGAGGAGTGAAGGTTGTTACGAAACCTTAATAAAAAGGCATTTAATTGATTGTGAAGAAAATTCATCGGTTACTTTCGGGTTTCAAGGGAGATCTATAACAAGATTTTAATGGCCATAAAAGATGATATTAGTGACACACAGCCTAGAACCAGAAATCGGAATTTTGCTATTACGGCACAAGAAAAACTATAGGAATAGTTTTTTCGTTAAGGTAAGTTAAATGAATTTATTTCGGTAATTAAATAAAACAATTCGTAATCATATTATTTTTATTAATCGAATACAGTACTCGTTATAACATCAAAGTATGTTGAATGATTGTTGTGGGGATGGTGTCTCTCGTTGCGAGTTGTATGCGTGGATTGGATGCTGTGGTGTGTTGAATGATTGCTGTGGGGATAATGTCTCTAGTTGCGCCAAGACCAATAATTCCATTTCAGTAACGATGTTACAAACTTGTGCTCTGATTTGAGCTATTTTGACCGGAGGAAATTGACAAACTACGTCGGCCATACTCCTAAAGAATATGTGTACTGGAGTATTGCCTTTTTCTGTAATTTGTCTCAACATGTTTGTTCTTTCTTCTCTATTCTTTCTAAACTCTTCGACAAGGCTGTCTCTTTTTTTCTTTTTCACTTGTGATGTACCTTGAGTTTTGTTTTGTGTTATTGATGATGTACCTTGCGATGGTTGTTGTGAAATAGATTCACATGGTGAATACGGCGTTGAGCTCGGCATTGAAGAAGTTGGTCCTGAACATATCTCTACTGGCAAATTGTTATCTTCATCAACCTCAAGAACATTTCCGGGATTTAGATTTGAAATAGACTCCCTTTCTTCAAAGCTGTCATTTATAAATTTAAGTCTTTCGTCGTCATACTTTGAAACGAAAGAAGCACTTCCGGTTTTCTTCTTATTCTGATTTTTTCTATAATTGTCGCGTAAATTACGCCATTTATTCTTACATTCTTCAGCTGAAACAATAACATTGTTAGTTATTATAGAACTACTATATAGTCTCTTTTGGTTCGATGTTCTGTGGAGGTAAACATGAGTAGTGATTTTAAACGAGATAATCCGAATAAATAAAGTATTTTTATTCATGGAGAAATAAGATTTAGTTAGATGGATTCATAATTGATAATTCACTATTCTGTTTACCTACACGGACCACTGAACTGAAACGGACTACCTTTGCACCGATGTTTGACCCATTAATTAAGTACCTACTTTTTTTTTACAGGTATTTGGCGACTGGAGAAAGCTATAGATCTTTAAGTTTTCAATTTCGAATTAGCCATAATTGGATATGCAGAATTGTGCCTAAAGTCTTACAAAGTATATGCTTGAGACTTTTAAACGTTGCACTTCCTGAACCCACCGTGGAAGATTTTAAAAGAATAGCCGAAGAATATTGGTTTTTATGGAATTTTCCTAATTGTATCGGGGCAATAGATGGTAAGCACATACGCATCGTGTGCCCAAGTAACAGCGGGTCCTTATTTTTTAATTATAAGCAGTTTTTTCTATTGTTTTACTTGCCGTGGTCGATGCGAATCGAAAATTTATAACAATAGATGTTGGTTCTTATGGCAAAGAAGGTGATGCAGGCATATTTATGAAATCTGATTTATTTAAGAAAATTCAAAATGGGCAGCTAAAGATTCCCCCGCCAACAAAGTTGCCGGAAGCTGACATAGAAATGCCTTATGTTTTCGTAGGTGATGATGCATTTAGTCTCACCAACTATATGATGAAACCATATTCAAAAAATCATGAGTCTCAAGATAGGTCAAAACGAATTTTCAACTACCGCCTTAGTAGAGCAAGAAGAACATCTGAAAATGCTTTTGGCATATTATGTCAACGATTCCGAATATTTTTTTCACCTATTGCAGTAAACCCTCGTGTCGTAGACAAGTTGGTTATGTCAGCTTGTATCATCCATAATATGGTGAGTTCTTTGATCATACACGATTCAGACAGAAATACTCTTGAAATGCCTTCTGAAAATGTAATTCCTATGGCGCGTATACCGGGTAGAGGTTATAATATAAATGGTTCGGTGACACGTGACTTATTCAAGCAGTATTTCAACAGTGATCGTGGTAGTGTACCTTGGCAAGACAGTGAAGTAGATAGGACAACTTAAGTGAGTAGGTAATTCAAAACTTATTGATTATTTTCTATAACACTAAATAAACACCACCAAGTTAAATTGTTCATTAAATTTAAATTAAATTGTTCATCAAATTTCCAAACCTCAGAATCATCAAAATGTTTCATGTGTCACTAGTAATGTTTGCCACTTTTTATGTAAACTTAGGTACCTACCGCTGTCGAATAAACAATTAGAAATATATACAAACAACTCACGTGTTTTATTCAACTTCTCAGCTATCTCCCTCACGCAATTATCTTTAACCATCAAACTTTTATGTTTTTTGTCTTTTTTTTATATAAAGAAGGATAGTTGCGAACTAATTCTATTAAATTGTCTTCGAAAAATTCCATATTGACTCAGTGACGCACACCCGTAACGCACACCGCACACCGCAGCGTTGAACCGAGAATGACGCCGCGCTGTGCGGCAGTACACCTCCCCACTTCACCGCGCTTGCCCCTCGCCGCTGACGCATACTGCGACGGAACAAGAGAACATTCGCGACGTTTTTCATATGATTGAGTGTCCGGCAACGCATACCGCATACCGCAGCGTTGTGCGTCATGATCACCGGACCAAAGCTTTAGGGCCCTGGTTTCCAGGCGTCCTCGGCCGAAAGCAATTTGTAGAGGATAATGTATGTAATGTTGGTAGATGCTCAAGAGTCCTCGGAGCACCAGAGGTAGCAGCAGCCAGTACAAATAGGTAGGTAATTAGGTTTAAATAGTATGGGTATGTATGTAGTAACGGTATGCGGGAGCACTACACAAGAGGGAAGAAAAAAAAACCCTTTCGGGTTTTTCCATGTGATATCTGGTATCGAAGGCGGGTGACGCCTCAGCATCCGAGCCGATGCATTTCTGGAGGTCCTCCTCAGATTATCGGGACCGAACGTCCACTGTATCCACTCTTCGAAAAAGAAGCCTCCTCGCCGCCTTCGCGCCGGCAAGAGTTCATCTGACGTATATCTCATAGGGTTGGGATGTACGGTATGATCCGTTGATTGAATCGATTATTGACATCAACTAATCGATTTACCCGTATTTATAAACGAAGTCGCATTCGATAAAATATCATAAATAAAATGGAATCGTCCTTTTAAAAATACGACGTTACAATCTATCACAAAGTGCATTGGATTTAAGTTATAATTTTTTTTTTTCATAAAACACGGTGTTAGGTCTTAAGATAGGTAATTATAAAGTCCCAAAACTTTGTTATATTACCTGTTTGCCGCAGTATGAACTTGATCTGATCTTCCAGTGATTTCTCAGGGTATAGCTTCCGGACTTGGGATAATCCCTCCTTTGTCAGTCCGTGTTACCCATATTTTATAACAACCTTTGGAAGTCCTGGGAACTTCGGGACAAGTTGGACTCCAATGACTAACTCTTCAACAATGTCCGGTGGAGGATGGGTATTTCTTCTGCGTGGGACTGAAGATGCAGGCATATCTACAGTTCACAACTGGACCAGTTCACCAGTTCACACAAGGATATCAACTGCGACATGGGGTCTATCATTTAATACATTAAAGATCATATACGGAGCTACTTATATAGGTTCTATGTGCTATGGTGCACCTGTATGGGCCGATAGGGCGACCGTAGGCGCTGTCCGTCGCAAACTGTTACAAGGCCAACGACTTGCACTGATATTCTTGTGTAAGGCATATAGGACGGTTAGCACTGAGGCTTTGCCGGTGTTGGCGGGTGTGCTTCCGGTCGATCTCGAGGTGCAGAGACGTGCAGCCATGTACTATTCAAGACAACAAAACATGGAATGCGATTTTTTGGGCGCGCGGGATCGCGGTAAAATTACAAGATTGCTTCAACAGCAGCCCGATGTCTATAACGACCTCATAAACGAATGGCAACAACGCTGGGATGAATCATCCAAGGGGCGCCATCTTTACCAATTCTGTCCATCTGTTCGCGAAAGGTTGTCGTTGATATGGCTTGAGGTGGATCACTGTGTCTCTCAATTTCTTACGGGTCATGGTTTAAGAGCAAGCTTTATTCATTTAAATTAGTCGAGTCATCATTGTGTCAATGCTCAACACCTAACTCTCACTATGAACAGTCTGCTCATCATATCCTCTGGGAATGTAGTCTTTGGTATAATGAACGTAATATAATGTTGAATAGCTTGCAGGTGACATCTGGGGCGGTATACTATGGGGATCTTGTGTCAACTAGGGTGAATTTCCGTGCGTTTAGGCGATTCTGCCATACATATTATAGAAATCAAACATAGCTCACGTAGGACCCGTAATATTTGTGGCCGTGGTGCTTCCCTGTTTAAAAGGGTGTATGCCCTTTTTACTTCATTTTGTCTCCCGCTTTGCTAAGGAGGGAAGTGGATTTACTGTATTTCCAACTCCTCCAATTTTCTTCTGATTAATTTCGTTGCGGGTTCCAAGACAGTTTAATTTCTTCCTGGGACTTCCCGAGTGTCATAACTCGGTGTGTTCGTGGGTCACTGCTGTGGATCCTGGTGTACAGGAGTTACAGTGGTGGGCGTGTGGGTGGGATTAGTCCCAAAAAAAAAAAAAAAAATATATATCTACAGTTGAAGGTCGTGACTCAGAAGAATCCGAATCCGGGGAGAGGTATTGATTGGTGACATTGAAAACATATACTCCTCCTCTTTCCCCTTAACCCTTAAATGCATGAATTAATAAATTGTACTGAAAAAAATGGTTTCAATTCTTTAGAAGCTGTGAAAAAGGGGGAAAAAATAAAAAAAAAACAATTAAAATTTTATAGGTTTTTAATAAAAAAATCAAGTTGATGCATTTTTGGGATATTATGCAAAATAGTCTTAAAAATGCTTTTATTAATTAACTGTGGAATAAGTTGAAACAATCGTTTCCTTTCTTTGCACAAAGGAATACATTGCACTTTGTGCATTTTACAAAGCTCTGTAGCTTACAGCCAGGTCTCTTGCAACTCATGCGTTGGTCGGTTTTAATTTGGCTATGACCAAGATTGTCTAACCGAACGTCAGACGGTGGAAGAACCTGGCACCCTTTCTTTCTTTTTGCCTTTATGGTTTCAGTGATGCTGCTGTTGCTAGGACGTCCTCTTGTTGGCTGGGTCGTAGTACCATAGGTACATAAGACATCAGCCAGCTCTGACCTGAATTCTGACAGATTTTTCAGCTTCTTTGGATCTGCTCCTTTTCTTGTCTCTACAGTGTTGTATAGAACCCAAGAGTTTATAATAGTTAAATCTAAAAGGTGGTAAAAAATCCTCATATACCATTTCCTGGTCTTGACTTTTATTCTATATCTGCCCAAAAATGAATCCATGAGATCAACGCCCCCCATATGGGCGTTGTATTCTTTGACTATTTTTGGGCAGTCTATAATTATTTTTTTCTTTTCTGTTTTGTCATACCGTTCGATGGACTGTATTGGTTCAGCTCCTACGTAGGTCGAGAGCAGAACTACTTGTTTGTTATCTTTCCAGCTCACTGAAGACATGTCGACCCCATCAATATGTGTAATATATTCCACATACGACCCTCTTGGCACTTGTTTTTTCATTACATCCTGCTTTGAGGGTAATTTACATTTCTTACCTAGGCGGTTTCTTTGAACAGTTCCTACACATTGTATTCCTTCTTTAGCAAAATAATACATCAAGGGCAATGTGGTATAGAAATTATCATGGTATATAATGTGATTAGCATGTCTGGGAATTATTCTAGCAAGTTTTATCACTGTTTGTGATACAACCCCTATATCAGGCTCGTTAGGCAAACGATCATCTTTTTCTTTGCCAGCGTAAATTATAAAGCGATAAGCAAAACCTGTCAGAGAACACAATACAAATAATTTAAAACCCCATTTATGGGGTTTATTAGGCAAGTATTGTTTTAAAAAATGGCCCATCTTGGTGGCACACATTTGGTGATGATTGGAATGCTGGAGAACTTGGTATTGAGATGTTCAATTACAGGGCGTAGCTTGTGAAGTCGGTCATGCTGGGGATGATCTATTGGTAGGTGTTTATTGTTATCGTTGAAGTGAAGTACTCTTCTTATTTTTTCAAATTTATTGACAGGCTTTTATAATTGCCTCAAACCCGTGCTTGTTAGCCCAATAACCACGTACACTTGGATAGTGGTAGACACTCATATAAATCAAGATTCCCAGATATTTTCGCAGTTCTCCTAATGTTATGACGTCAGGTCTATCAGGTTTATTTTGTACAGCATAATTATTTGTTTCAGTAACAATTTGTGAAAGAAATTCTTCAGTAAAAAAGTAGGAAAAAAATTGGAAAGGTGTCTGAAGGTTCATCAAACTTTCAGGGTATTCTTCAGTTCCATTAAATTTTATGGCATTTTCGTTGAATGGCAGAGGTTGGTTTTTCCATATCAACCTCTGAATGTCTAAAGAATGTACCGGTGCATCATTATTATTTGAAGGAACAGCATCCGCTATTACAATAGGAGGATCGGGTATAATTTCTTCGTTATTATCATTAGACCTAGCCTCACCGTCGTCATCATCATTTTCTAAAACATCTAGTAAATCTTGTTGGGTAGGATAAAAATCAAGTTCGTCACCGTCCGATTCGAAATCGTCTTCAGAAATGGCGCCATCTTCTAGCTGGCGCAACCAAAACTCAATGTCACCATCTCTCCTATTATTTTCTGCCATTTCTAAAACAAAATAACCAACCACATGCATACCTCACCAAAGCAAAATAAATAAAATCACAAAATGTATAGCTTCAAATAGCAGTAGTAATTTTTACCAATAGTGCATGCTGTCCCATTTTTGCATCAAAACAAAAAAGCTTCCTGTTCATATAACAATTATGGTAAATTGAAAAAAGGATAAGTTATTGTATAAATAATAGTCATTACCTTTAGAAAACCATTTTTTTTTCTCCAAAATCAGCAAATAACTTCGTGATATATGTCGCCAAAGTGCACTCAACTCAAACCTATTTGAGAAACGCGCGCCAAAAAGTGAAATGTCAATCAGCCACAGATAACAACACAAAATGTCACTAGTTGAGTTATTCTATGGTTAGAGAAGGAGCAAAAGAAAAATTTCATACAGCCTAATGTATCAAACACAAATATTATGGACGGATATTGGTGGTTTAATTTGGTGATTCAATTTTGGGACACTATGCGTTTAAGGGTTAAGGCACATCTACCCTTCCGGCTATAGAGGTATACTGTTTAATGACAGTCTCAATTATCCCTCTTACAGTCTCTATGTAATCTGCTTGAGGGAGGAAGGATAAAGTCAACCTGGACCCTTCGATCTCCTAACAGGACTACAAGAGACTTGTTTCTAGCAAGTACTTGTCGGACAGATTTTCGGAGGTATCCATGTTGCTGCGTCTCTTCTGCTTGTCCGGCCAGAAAGTATATGTCGTCAATGTGGGGTTCATCAATTTCGTCTAATTCAGGATCTATAGTTATACCCTCAATGCCCCCTTCGAGATCGTTGTCTTCCCCATCTGGATATGATGATCTAATTGCAGCAGCCCAGGGATCTTGAGAGACGGAGGGGCCAGGTATTGGGTCTTCATCCGGCTCATTTACATATGCTGTTGAATCTTCCAGGGTTTCTGCTGCAATTGCAGGTAATCGGATGTTCCAGTTGGCTCTCTCTGCACGCTGTTTAGCCTCTGCCAATGATAGTTTCTCCATAGCTGGAATAATAGTTTTTTTCATATCAGGTGTTGAAACGGCATGGCAGATTATTAGGCGTCCACCCTTACCCATTGGCACTTTTGAACAAGATGCCTTGGTATCATCCGTCCATGACTGTGGCATGGTATGATTCGAGTTCAGCCAAGTTTCATCGATAATTATCCCAATTTGTAATTTTGTTCATTTGCCTCAAGAATGATACTCTGTGCAAAATTATATGATATCGTTCCATCATAATTTTCCTCTTGTCGGTTTTCTTGTATTTGAAACCAATTTGCTTCATAATTGTTATTAAAGATGTTGGGCTGCCACTAAACAGGCCAGCCTCTCTTAGTGACACCACCAACTTACTAACAGTTGGGTACTCACTTCTTGTGTAATAAGCATATACAGTGCAACCTCGATATAACAAATCGGAGGGGAACAAGAAAATATTCGTAATATCAAGTAATTCGTTGAACTGAGGTTTGATATGTTGAGGTTAGATTGGTCTAAAATTCGTTATAAAGAGGTAAAAGAATAGTTTTACTCACCTCAATATTACGTACTTATCTTGTTATAGCGAACAACTTCTACTAATAAATGATAACACATTTTTATCAAATTACTATATGTATTTAAAAACAATTAGGTAGATAATAATTTTTTTTTCTTACATTAATAATCAAAAACAATTAACAATGTGGTTATATAGTTTAATCTCAATTTTGTTCATTGATTAGAAAAAAAGTCATTGATAGTTGTCTGTTTACCACCGGTATGAGTTATGACATCCAAAGCGCAATCTAATTTCGTGATGGATTTCACTACATCGTCACTCAAACCTCCCTTTTTGAGAAACACAGATTTTATTGTATTCAAAGCATTATAAGCATCTTTTATTGTGAAGTTATGCTCGTCAATTTCACCCTCTTCTTCCTCGTCTTCATCCGCTTCTGCATTAGTAACTGGCAACACAGATGTGACGATTTCAGCATCAGTTAGTTCTCCACAGATGGCCAAATCATTATCAAAGGTAACGAAGTCTTCGAAGTCAGTCTCTTGAAGGTGTAATTCTTCTTGAACTCTTTGCCAGGTCCTAGCAAGTTCTGCGACTGGTAAATCGTCCTCCTCATCTTCGCATGTTACTTTAAACCCACTTTTCTTGAAGCAGTTTGCAATGGTCTTTTCAGTGACTAAATTCCAAGCTTTGGCGATCATCCACATGGCTTGTAAAACGTCAATTGTAGTTGGTGTTTGACGTTCAACATCAGCAAGAAATCGTCTGACAACTTCCTTCCTATAATGCATTTTGAAGCTTTGGATGATGCCCTGATCCAGTGGTTGTAGTTTTGAAGTGGTATTTGGAGGTAAGTACTTTATTTTTATATTTTTCAGGTTAGGAATTTCTCCGTATGCAGTACAATTATCGATGAACATTAGAATTTTCTTGTTTTTTTTCTTCATCTCTTTATCCAGACTTTTAAGCCAATTGCAAAAAGCATCACTGGTCATCCAAGCCTTATGGTTGGACGTGTAGTCTGTTGGCAGATTATTGACATTCTTAAAACATCGCGGTTTTTGATATTTTCCGATGATGAGTGGCTTTAGTTTGTAAGTCCCAGTACAATTTGTTCCCAGCAGTACTGTTAAGCGAAGTTTACTGTTTTTCCCACCATTACATTTATCGCTTTTGAATGATAAGGTTTTGTCAGGTAAACATTTATAGAATAGTCCAGTTTCATCGGCGTTAAAGATGTCTTCGGGATCGTATCCGGTGGTCAGCTCTGCCAGTTTGTCTTTCCAATCATCACATACTTGTTCATTAACACTACCACTTTCACCGCATATTTTTCGAAAAACAACCTCGTTTCGTTTTTTGAAATTTTGAAGCCACCCGTTGCTAGCACGGAACTCTTCATGTCCCAATTCTACTGCAAACCGCTGAGCCTTTTCCTGAAGAATAGGGCCTCCGATTGGGATTTTTTTTGTCTCGGCACTGTTTTAACCACTTTAACACACATTCCTCTACGTCTTTGAACTCGCATGATTTTAATCTTTGGGATTTTGGTCAACATAATTATTGATGTTTCGCTTTTCTGCGACCGATAAGGAACACCTTTTACGTTTCTGAGCCATTTTAACTTAAATCTTTAACAATAGTGACGAGCAGAGATGTTTACATTACTTTCCATCAAAACAACAATGATTACTTTACAAACAAAAGCGTGTCGAAACATGTCGAGACATGAATCACATTATAAGATTAAGAGTTATATTATTGGTGGAAACTTTATATAAAGGTTTTGGGTTGGCAAAATTCGTTAATTAGAGGTATGAATACTTTTTCTTGATAGTTGAAAATTCGTTATAAAGAGGTTGTACGCAAAGAATGTTCGCAATGTAAAGGTATATTTTATATTGACTCTTATGGACAATTCAAGGGGATTACGAAGAATTTGTTAAATCGAGGAAGTCGTTATATTGAGGTTGCACTGTACGTGGTTTCGAATAGCATCTGCGTCAAATGTGTCAATACCTGTTACAGGCTTGCTTTTCTTCCTCTTCTTAGGCGTATGTAACACATTTTCTTCAGTACCGGTAGACCCATACTTTTCCTTCAAAATGTTTCGAATAGCTTTTTTGCCGATTCCAAGTGCTTCTGCTACGCGATCTTGCACTTGAGTTACTAATAATGGTCCACCATTAACTGATTCGCGTTCGAAGTATTCGGTTAACTTCACAACCAATTCGCGTGATTGGCTGTTGATTGTACATCCTCTTTTCGACATGTTGAAACAGAGTTTGTACAATATAACAACAAACACCAAAATCGAGTCCAAATCGCTATGTCTAATCAATGTCCGGAAAAGGTCAACGTGATAGTAAACAAAAACAGTCCAAAAGCAAAGCCGAGTCCAGAAAAAATATCAAACATAAACGAGCGCACAGTCAACTTCACAAGATGTCGAACGAAAGACTGAAGATCACGAGCCTCTTGGTCATAGACAAACCATTCTATAGGTACATAGAGAAAGACATATGTAAGGCTTTGATAATTCTTTTATAGACTGACTTTTAAGGACTGTTGTCAAATGTGACTGTTGCAAAATGAGACATGACGTTAGAGACAGAAATTAGGATGAACTATTTTTATCAATATCATGATGAAATGATTTAGTTAAAAAACCCCACCAACCTCCACTCCTCCTCTCCTCCTCTCAACCTCCACTCCGGGTTTCTAACCAAATTATTTAGTATAATATCAAAATATTCATATTAAATATCAAAATAAAGCTAAAACTATATGTGATCAGATTTTATTTTAATATGTTTAAATATTAAATAATACACTAATTACACATTTATCTCTTTTTTAATGTAATTTTTGTAAACGATTTTCAGAAACTCTATTTTATTTGGCCATAAACGGCTTTTTAACAGTTACAACACTACGGCAACCAACCCAAAGACATGACATTGTAGTAAAGTCCTGTCGGAATATTAATCAATGATTAATTCGTGTTTTTGAGTGCTATTTTTCAATATAAAGTTAAACTTGATGCTTATTTATGATACGCGTTGTGGGTGTATGGGTAACATAGTAATTAAATAGGATTATGAATTTGATTTTTTCAATTTCTTACATAGACGTTCATACAAAGTTATCGCGGCATAGAAACATCAAAACGGGCTTCTTATTTTGTGACGACTTTAGGGTCGTTTAAATCTGAGAAATCAAAATCATTATTATAATATTTGAATAAAAAAAAACTAGTTTTCCAGCCTTTTCAATTCCCAGTCGGTTTCTTAATTTGCTCTAAACAATTCCAAAGGTGGAAAACACTCTTTCCACAGCAGCTGAAGAAGCTATCGCCCCAAACAATTGCTTCACCACTGGAAAAAATTGTAACTGTTCCTCTTCACTAAATAAATTTTTCTGTGACACCCACCACTCTAGTGGTGTCACATTTTTTACTTTTTCTTCTGCGAACATCACACTTTTGAATGGTTTTGATTTTGACTTAAGCTTTACTATCAATGATAACAAAACTGAACCATCACACAGTATGCCGCGTAGAACATGCTAGGTGGACAAAATTATTTTATGTTATATAAAGATGCTTTTACATAGAGGTAGTCATATTTAGATATTATTTACAGTTTTTTGTTTTATTTTTTAATAAAAAATGTTTTTTTAAATCAGAAAAATATATTTCAAATACTCAAATATTTATTGAAAAAGAAAAATTTACAAGTCAAGGTTTACATGCTTAGTACAAGCACGAGTACATACTATAATTAGCGTCCAATAATCATATTAAATTAATATAAAGGGTTTTCCAATAAGAGGTGTTATTTTAGTATTCAAAGAAAAATGCAATTTTTTAAGATAAATAATCGGCTGTTTATTTTATAGTAAAGAGGAAGGTATGCCGTTAATAATGGAAGATAACATCAGCCAAATGGCTACCACGACCACACTTACAGGACCATATCCTTTTAATGAAATTTTGCATAACCAAATCGCAAAGTGGCTGCCCTATGTCCTCGATAGCCTCACGAATTCCATCTTTGAGGTCTTGAATCGACGCTGGACTGTTGGCGTAGACCTTATCGTTCACGTGGCCCCAAAGATAGAAGTCGCAAGGTGTTCAATCACAAGATCTCGGTGGCCAATTGTGATCACCTCTTCGAGAGATAACACGGTCAGGAAACTTTTCCCGTAAAAGAGCAATGGTTTCGTTGTTTGTGTGGCACGGAGCGCCGTCTTGTTGAAAGTAAACGTTGTCCAGATCAATACCATCCAACACCGGCCATAAAAAATCATTAATCATATCTTGATAGCGCAATCCATTCACCGTAAGTGTTGATCCAACCTCATTTTCGAAAAAGTAAGGTCCAATGACCCCGCCGGACCATAAACCGCACCAAACAGTCACAGACAGTCGTTGAGGATGGAGAGGCTTCTCAACAATAACTCTTGGGTTTTCCGAGCCCCAGATGCGACAATTTTGCTTGTTGACGTAGCCTCCTAGGTGGAAATGGGCCTCATCAGTCAAGATGATTTTTCGATGGAATTCCGGATCATTTTCATGCATTTCAAGTACCCAATCAGCAAAGACACGACGTTGTTGATGATCGGCCGGCTTGAGTTCTTGTGTTAACTGAACTTTATAAGCCTTAAAACCCAAGTCTTTATGCAAAATACGGTGTAATGACGTTTGTGGAATGCCCAATTCCAAAGAACGACGAGGAATGGACAAACCTGCGTTTTCTTTAACACTTTGGGCTACAGCAGCAATATTCTCAGTTGTTTTTGAGCGACGGGCACGGGTTTTATTCTTCACATCACTAACTTGTCCCAACAGCTCGAATTTTTCCACCAATTTCTGTATTGCGGTCCGACAAGGTGCTTCACGACGACCAAAAAATGCTTTAGTTTTGCGAACTGTGACTGCAAGATTTTCACCATTTTTGTAGTGAATTTTAATAATTTCAATGCGTTGTTGAAGTGTGTATTGTTCCATTTTTAGTAATGGCGTAGTTTCTACTTGTCAAATGTCAAAAAATAAAAGCTTCAAAAGTGACAGCTACCGAAATACCGGGTGATTCAAAATAACACCTTGTTGGCAAACCCTTTATATACTAAACTAATAAAAATAATATACAAATAATATATATACTATACTAATAAACAAAATTTTTTAACAACAACTAAAGTAGCTTAACCTAATAATCAGCATCATTTTGTGGCATTTTGCGACAATATGATTCCAGTCTGGACTTTTCTATGCTAGGGCTTACAATTAACTTTAATACTCTGTACATATTTTTTCCAGCTTTTTTTTTGGAAATCTCTCGAAGGCAAATCAAAGGAAATCAAAGGATCAGATGTTATAATTAACAAAGACAGTAAGTCTCTTTTCGTGGCAACACGCGAGCACTTGCGGGTGTTGAACTCCCTAAATCTGCTGCAATCTTTATTCCGTGCTTTCTGAGCCTCTTCGGAAAGCTGCCCAATTGCAAGCAATGCCGCTTTGATGACTTCTGTGCTGTGAATTAATATTTTATGCACAGTAGCAGGCATACAGTACCACGAATAGAGACTAAGATAATGTTTTCTGGTTTCAAGACAAAATTTATTGAATTCAACTAAGTTTATCTCGAATCCAGAAGACAATGTCCTCAAAATAACATCAAACTTTTTTATAATTGTTACATCCTACCCTGTGATTTGAGCACTCATATCAGCATTCTTAAAAAAGCGACGGGCTGTATTTTCATCATTTGAAGAACCAAGTCCTGGCTTATCTACAATAAGTCCCATCTCGTTCTTAAATTTCAATTTAATTTCCTCGGAACGAACCTTGATATCTGCTTTGTCTTCGTTGCTTCTAGCCTGCCATTTCTTAATATTCAACTTGTAACTGATATGTAAAAGACATTCCAATAAACCAAAGCCAAAATGTTCTTGATTGCTGTTAAACATCGCGGGGTCATCGTTCATCGTCTTGGGGTGGCGATACAGATGAAACACTATTGTGATGAATGAGTTTCCGTTAAGGCGTTACACACCTTTCCGTCTGTCATTGTCAGCAAAAGTTCATGTTTTATTTACAGAGATTTGAGAAGCACCAAAGTTGATGAGTGTTGGAAGAAGGGCATTAACTTCTTCCAACAATCTATTTGTCTCCGCTAACGTAAAGTCCTTCATTTCTTTGGCAAATATAAATTTGATTGGGCGACAATACAAAGTTGATGAAGGCCGAGGATTTTGCCAAATAATTTTGGACCCATCATTTAACTTAAGGGGAACTAAAGAAAATACGAAAAGAAACTCATGCTGTGCCCAGAACTTCCATCACATCCCCATTTACTAACAAGTGTAAACAATGAACTTGTTGGGAGCACACTGCTGATAACTTCATTCTGTGCTAACACTAGACGTTCCACTGTTTTATTTAATAAGGCTTGCAAATTTATTTCAGCACGAGTTTCTGTTATAGCAATGTGCTCCTGTGCAGGGTTACAGGCCTGTTTGGCCTTTTTTAAACTAAAATATGACGGAAACACATTATGGCCCCCCTTCATGGACCACTTCCTAGTTTGTTTGTAAGAATGCGTTGTTGACTTAGAATCTATATAGTAAGCTAAGGCTTCGTCACTACTTAATTGCCTAGGATTAACGCAACTGGTATCTTTAGACTTAATAGTATTATCTGGGCTCTCACTAATGTCTCTAATCACATTGGCAATTTTCCTTTGCCCTGCTGAACGCACAGCAATTTCGGCAGCAGTCACCAATTCACTGACACTTCGAGATTCTACGAGATCCTCGACGCGACGTTTCTTCGTCTTAAACGACGATTTCTCGAAATCTTTGAGAAGCCTTCCTGCAGGAGTCACAGCCTCAATTGACGTCGAAGGTTGTGGCGCAAAAGAACTTACAGTAAACTGTATGTCTGATTCATCCAACCAAGTCTTATTTTTAATTAAAAAACGCTCTTTCGACTTTCCTGAAGCATACCATTTGGCACCAATCTTATTAGACAAGTTAGATATCTTCAACTTTATTTCTTTTTGGCTGCTTTCAGTCACCAAAGTGAAATTTTGAAGAAAGATAGTCATATACACGCGAGTTTTTTTCATTCTTCGTGTGTTTCAACCACTCCTCAAAAAAGGCTACCCTTGAAATAGAGTAAACGTGTTCTGAAAAAAAAAAGAAAAAAAACATGTTGTATGCTAAAAAATATGTGTATTTTTACGAAGAATAAAGTTATTTCTGCGTAATATCTAAAAACTAGCCCGGATAGAGGTGAATGTCTGTATATTCTGACCTTTCAAAGTTTTTTTTTATTTAAAAAAATACGCTAAAACGTATAGACTTTTTAAAAAACATACTAAAAATTCAAATAAATAGATTATGATTAAAAAAATACATACAGTGGAACATAGAACCTCCTCCTTTTTTGAAGTCGGTTAAAAATAGTACTTACCCTCAGTATTAATATCCATCACAAAAACTTTCACAATATTACAATATGCCACTATGAGATGTGCACGAAAGTATCGCTAAATTGCAACTGATTGATTGCAACGGTTGCATTAAACTCATTACCTGACTTCTGACCCTTATGACTCACCACTTGCGAATTTGACGAACAACATTTTCTCGGAATTCGGGGTTTGGGGGTATTGTTTACGTTTTGCAAATAAGATTTCCTGGAAATGATAACATGAATTTTGTCCACCTAGCATGTTCTACGCGGTACACTGTGCATCATAGTGATTTCGCGCTTCCTATAACGCACTTTCTTCTTCTTCATCTGTCAGTGTGAATTCTGTTTGGGTTGGATCTAATAAAAATGCCAAAAAGTTACTGGGGGTCATTTGCTTATATCTCTTTCGAAACTTCGACATTTGCCTACTATTTAAATCAAAATTTAGCTCCCAAGCTTCTTCCAAGCCGTTACAGCAGTAGACAAAGGGGAATGCCCATTTTCGGCCATGAAACGCCCAACAATTTGCTTTTATTAGAAAAAACCATCTTATTTTCTATTTATTAATTGGGGTATTCATTTATCCTGACAGGTCTGCAACATTTAAACAGAAAATAAAAGTACCGAAAAGATAAAAGTGAAATTACGTTTATCCGTATTTCATTGGTTTCTGACAAAATATTAAGAGTTCCCAATTACTAATTTTACTATTTTTTGGACTGACATTATTATTTATTTTAATATTACTTGAAACTAATTGTACAAAACATCTTATAAATTCTACTTTTAAAACAAACACAATAAATAAGCAAAATGGCGGTTTGTGTCAGCGCTACTGAAGTTAGCAAACGTGTCCTGGCCGAAAACTGTGTCAGCGCTAGTAAGCGCTCATAAGCGCTTTCTAGCGCTATTTTCTGCCAAACACAGCCATTATTTTATAGCTATATTATTCGATTTTCGGTAATCATTATGATTTCATTATGTTAGTGCTAATATTATTTATTTATTTATTTTAATAGAGCTAGGGCAGACTTTAGAAATATAAACGTAGGCTCCGAAAATGTTAGGGAATTTCCTATTTTAACTTACAGCGACTTAGTACTAATTGCTTGTGGTACATACCAATTAAAGCAAGCTCGCTCCTATTATGGTGAGCATATAAGAGCTAATGGTTGCTACCACATAGAAATATGCAATGACCATAGGAGCAGCATTATGGAAGGAATACACCTTAGTCCTAACTGCTCTTTACCTAGGGCTAGAATCGCAAGTCGACACATCAGTCGAATAATATATTTTATATATATTTTTATTAGTGGCAATGATTCTGGCAGAAGTACAATTAAAAAGTATTGTTGTAACTGTATTGTTGGCCGTCGAACGGTAGGATGTTGTGCCCATATAATGACAGTAATATGGTATTTGGGTTGGGCACGACATCAAACAAATATTTTTCCTCCGGCTCAATTCCTGGATGATGTACTAATTGTGTATGACACAAATGATGTATGATCATAAAATACCTAACAACTACATATAACTTGATATTGTATGTGAGAATAACAATAAAATGATGAATAAAAAAAAAACTGTAGTTATTTCTGAAAATTAAAATCATGTTATATCTTAAAAATCCCGACTTTTTTTAATACCAATTCCTTAATCATTTCATTCTTTAAATTGTATATTATCCTTTCCATATGCTTTTATATGTGTGCACCTAGGGCCAAAGTGTCTATGGGTAGTGGGCATTCCCCTTTGCATTATTTCTTTGTAAAGTATCCAATGTAACAGATATTGGATTCAAAAGTTATTAGATAATCTTCCACTGACCTCTTTACGACCATATTTTCAACTTTTGCTCTAATAACAGGATCTATGACGTCCCTGTTCTCTTCACATATTTTTAGTAGCTTTTGCCACTCAGACACAAAGACTTCGAAACAATCAGTTATAGTATTCCAACGAATATCTGATGGCAGCACTAATGCTTTCCCTCCTTCTGCTTTGTACAAGCTGTTAGCTGCATGATTGTTTCGGAAGTATTTTATTATTTGCACAACATGCTCCTTTATACTGCTATTTTCTAAATCTTTGGAAAGTAAGTTCAACAAGTGTGCAGAACAGCCGTATGTGATTATTGTATCACTATCTTTTAATTCCTTCCGCATTTTAGCCATGTTCACACAGCGTTGTCGGTAACAAAACTTGTAACATTACAATTATATTGAGACTTTAATCTTTCTATCAAACCCTCAGCAAGTTCAGCTAGGTATTCACCAGTGTGCGCCTTTCCTGTGGTGTCATCGAGTCAAAAAGAATTACTTCAGTCCGTCGTAATAGTGGCGCAAATAATCGGTTCATTGTGAACTTTAGACCACCCATCTATAGACATTCACATAACTACCAGATAGATTAGAGAAACACCGTTTTTTTCTTCAAGGTATATTTGATCCAATAATTTGCCTGATATATCCTGCCGAGATGGTGGGATATACCCTGGGCGTAGTAATGAAATTGTTTTTTTCTTCTTCTCGATATTCAATACTTCTGAAGCTACAGTTTGTAGCAAACATGGCCTTTGCTATTTGTCGGTCTGTTTCTTTTGTAGATTTTGGTATTGTTACTATAAAAGAGCTTAAGTTTGCAGATAGTTTCTTTTTTTAAGAGACGGTTCCGCGCAATCGTCGCATTTTGCCGAAGACCTTGCAGATGAGCTAGCTTCGGAAAGTGAAGACAATTCTGAAAAATAAATAAATATATTTTACTTATGATGTTGTTATTCATTACACAGTTAGTACCATTAAAATAATCATGTCTACAGTCTTTCATGTCTACAGACATCAAGCAGTTAACATTTTTCACTAATCATACTGTTGTCCACTGAGTACGATCACCAAAACCATGTAGAAAACCAGTTAGTACAAGGTGTCTCAAAAGAAAGTTTATATTTAGTAGATCGATTAAAAAAAAGTAAGCAGTGTGTAGCCGCTTTTCTTCTCAGGCGGACTACTCACCGGCTGACCAAGTGGAGAGATTTATGAGATTACCTCAGGGCGCCTTCTAAGAGAACAGAGAGGTGTGTGCGTGTGGGAAACCTACCTTAGAGGAAAACAACTTACACCTCAGTCATACATACATGTATATTTTAAAAACAAAATTAAAGTTACAATAAAAAAAATTAAATAAATTAATCAGTGGGTACAAGAAAAAACCGCAGCGGAGCGCGTCAGAGCCGAGCTGATGGTGCTCGGAGCCTCCTCGTCTTCACTCCAGGAGGTCACTTCCCCTTCCGCCCGAGTCGGCTATTTATATTAGGTATTGAGAAAAGTTCACAATTGGTATTTATAAAGTTAAATAGAGGTACTGTTAGATTGGACAGTCCGGCACTTTTAAAAAAAACCACCACTGACTATCACAATTATTTATTTTATAACTCTACACAACTTTTGGCAACTTAATATAGACACAAACTTATATAACACCACTTAACACGGATTATACGCGTTTTTATTGGCCCCAGCAAAGGGCAGAATAGACCCGGAGTATATTATTGCTCTAGAATTCCTTACTGAAAACCAACCAAGGTTGGGGAGTAGTCAGAGACCACAAATTATATCAGCACTAGAGAATAATAACTGACTAATTTAAGAAAAGGATTGGTATTTATAGTGTATTTATTGCTGATCTGCAATGTTAAATTTACGTCATTTTGCTATTATTGCAAGTCAGCAATATTGTATTGCATTCCTATGCAATATCATCAAAATTAGGGATGTAACACCTCCCCCCTTTAAAACGAAACATCCGGAAATAGAAAAGGATGTGAGTATAATCCATGTTAGATAAAATTAAGATTAGAAATTGAGTTTACAAACTTTTCTTAAATTATATTATATAGTTAGATTATCATAAAAATTAGAAATAGTAAACAACCCAAAATGAAATTAAAGAACCCAGAATTAAATTAAAAATATTATCAAAATAAAAATAGAACCTATAGATTATATTATTACAATAACTCAAGATTACGTCTTGGAGTACTTACATTGGAATCAGTACTTTCTGTATCACATTCACGATTGGCCAGTTCAATGCTAGTTCTTGTGCGGAAATTAGTGCTAGGTTTAGTCATACAATTATTAAAAATTTTGACACAACAAGAAGTACTGTTTCTATGTTTATTACAACAAACACATTTATAAAGTTTATAAGAGAAATAGGAGAATACAGAGACAGACAGTATGGTAGTCATAATGCTAAAATAGTAGCTATAACTAATATGATATGGTTGAGTTTCAATTTTGGTCAAATCGTCATTGATTTGATTTAATCGGTGAGAAGCGTATTGTAATGAATCTAAATTTACGTGTGTTAATTTGATAGAGCTCAGATGTGGTAAAGTATCATTTAATTTAACTTTAGAGCAGCAATCATCTTCTATAATATTAAAATTAGGATGTGGAATATTGATTTTAGTTTTAAATTCTTGAGATGGAATGAATTGAAGTAGCTTGTGGTAAGCCTTACAGTATTTAGGCAGGGTTAAAATACCTGTACCAACTATATCATAGTCATTTATAATGCCATTACAATTAATAGAGATTTTTGTTATATCAGATTGAACATAAATCCATCTATTATTTTTAAGTTTTTGCCATATATCTATTTCACCTACAATAAGCTTAAAATTACAAGAGTCTGGGATACCTTTCACATGTTCGGTTAAGACCGTCACTTCACAATTTGGATTTCCGACACTTGATTGTATATTACCTAATTTGCACAAATAATAATTGTTATTTATCACTTTGCACTCACTTAAGTCTTCTAACACGGAATAAATTAATTTATCTTGTGTCACTGCCAGGAATTTTGCGGTTGGATTAATTAAAGCGAAAGTATTAGGATTATTGATATCATGAGGAGTTGGTACAAGTTGTATTCTACAAAGGATACTAGAGGAATTCTGATTACAAAAATAAGTTTGTTGTCGTTAATGAAAGAAGATATTTCTGAGACATCTAAAATTGCGTGAATGTTACTAGGAGTCAAATGTAAAGGTAGGCTTAAAATAACATCGTTACTTTTCGAATTCAATTCATTGTACAATCGCATGGGACTTAGTACAGAAGGATGAACAATATTTTGTTTACCGAATAAAATAGCATCAATAAGGTCTTCTAAATTAAAATTAAGAATCATTAAAGAACTTTCTAAAGCGCTGAAGGTCATTGATAAATGAGAAATGATTTCCAACTTATTGGTGTTTGTTGAAACAGTGTCTAAAATTTTATCAAGATTTTGTATGTTATTGTTTAGAATATATTCGTTTTCGTTAAGTTTAGTAATTGTATTATTGAATGATGAAATAGAAGAGGTCATGATATGTATATTTTCTTTCATGATTGTAGCTAAATGTCTTTGATCGTCTTGGACTGCATTAATGGCGTCTGTAAAGGCCTTAGCGTCATCTTCATCAAGTGAACCAAAGAGTTGTTTTAATATTGGTCCACCTATACCAAACCAAGCAGACCTTTTAGTTTTGCCTTTAAACTGGACACTTTCAGGTGTTAATTTGGGTTGAACTTGTAAAGAACTCCCTTTTATTAGAGAGATTCCTGCACCGGAATTGATTAATAGAACTAGTAATTTGTTTGTATATTTCGTCTTGACATAGATATGAGGCAAATGCGTTTTCTTATTGTAATTGAGTTGAAATATATTAGATTGTATTTCTGAATTACATTTATGATTTTCTGTTAAATTAAATGGTGTACTGAAATGGTTTTCTAAGCAATTGTAAGATTTAGTAGGACTGACGGATATAGTAGTTTTAGAATTAGTAGACTTTTTAAGGGTATTTGGCTTGTTATTATTATGATGAAACGTGGTATAATTCACCTGCAATTGTTGAGGTGTAGAGGATTTAGGAGAAATGGTAGATTTAGTATGATAGTTTTCGAGACTCAACTTCTGTGGTTGAGATGTATTAGACATAGGAGAAATAGTAAGACTCGGTTTTTCCCGAGATGTAGAAATAGTAGACTTAATATTATTATTATGACTCGACGACTGCTTCGGTTGAGATGTTAGAGATATAGTAGGACTCCGCTTACTAGCTGGAGATGTATAAATAGTTGAATTGGTACCATTAACGTTATGACTCAACCACTGAGGTTGAGATGTAAATGATTTAGTAGAAATAGTAGGACTCGGCTTATTAACGCGAGATGTAGAAATAGTAAGATTAGTATTATGACTCAACTGCTGGAGTTGAGATGTAAAGGATTTAGTAAGGATTTTAGATTTAGTAAAATTAATATGGTTCTTATTATGAGTATTACTTAACATAAAAGTTTTATTAGATATAGTTAAGGGGATATTAGAGGCGTCAGCGTCGGTTTGTATTGATGATTCCGTACGACGCAGGACCGGAATCTTATTCAGTTTAAATGATCATACGTGTTTGACTCTAATGAATTACAGTTAAAATCTTGAATTTCAGAGTGAGCTAGTTCGACAACATTGTTAACTTGCCTTTGTGGCTTGTTAGTTGAATAATTGTTACGGGAATTTTTATATTGGCGCTTTCGACATTGCGGTATGTCGTGACCGGGATTTTTACAATACTTACAGAATAAATTGGTATTATTTTGCGCATTAAAAGAGGAAGAGGGTTGTGATTGGTAGGATATTTAAGGTTGGTTACTAAGAGTATGTACAGGACGTTATCGATTGTTGAAACAATTTCTATCCGAATGCCCTATTTTACCGCATATTTTACACCTAGGTTTATTTTCAATTGGTCTAGTAGACTGAATATAATTTTGTAGTTTTTCCTCCTGAATAGCCAGGTTTATAGCCTCGTGTAAAGTTGTAGGGTTGCGACATCTTAAAACGTTAGAGATATGACTCGGTAAGCCCATCAAGAACGTATGCAGTGCTAAGTCTTCTGTGCTGGCGATTCGGCCCTTTAATTCACTAGGATCCCTAGTAGAATGCGTGATGTCAGTTTGTAATCGCGTTAAATATGTCTCTAATCGTAGGCTATATTGTGTAACCGTTTCATTAGACTTTTGTTTACAATTTTGTAAGTCTAATAATAAATGATCTCTATGCTTGGTTTCCCCGAATGTTGATTTTAAAAACTGTTTCAACTCAGACCAATTTTCAAAAA